TAATTACAAACGAGATGATCCGCATCAGTACAACGCCAAGAACAGATTGCGGGATAATCTGGATTAGACCAACTACAACACTGGAATTACCCAATTTGATCCGGCACTGCTTGCTTGACTCCCCATGCCAGAGTAAACTTCATGGTAGCTACTGTTGGTGTCGGTAGTTCAGCCTTGTTCCTGCTAATGGTCTTCTTCTTCTTTTTCTTCTTCTCGTTCGTCTTCTGGTTCTTCTTCTTCTTTAGCTTCCTTTTTCTCATCATTTTTAGTTTGTTATTTATGTGTTGCGTTTATTTTTGCTTTTGTTGGCTCATTTTGTTGTTGTTTTTGTTGTCGTTGTGTTGATGATACTTTGTCTTCCAGTTATGTCATCTTATTTTCTTTCCTTCTTTATTTTCTTCTTCGTCCTTCCCTCCTTATCGATGTAACGATTATTATTATTATCTTTCACATATACAGTACATTATTTTCTTTGTATTAATGCATTTTTTCAAGTATATTCCTTCGCCAGTAAGTTTAGAACGTAATGTAAAACTAGTGTCCATTATAAAACTGTTACGAACTTATTTGGAAATAAAACAACGAATAAAATAAGAATTGTAGATTATGAGCTCCGATCATAACATAACCACAGCCTATGCTATTATTATTTTTTTTATGGGGATTAGCCCACCCGGGCACAGGTCAACGACCCACAACGGGGCCTACGGGACGAAAAAATAAGAATAGAAAGAAATTAAAAATGGAAAAGGAAAAGGTTATATTTACCTACACCACGAAGATGTCGGAAAACCAGCTTTTTAATGTGAGACAGACTGTATGAGTATGGAAACACAGAAGTAGGCAGAGCATTCCACAGTTTGGCTGTGTGAGGAAAGAAGGATGTACTATAACGGGTTATTCTAGTGACCGACATCCACAGAGAAACGGTGGGCACTGCGGGCAAGACATGTGTTACGAGCCCACGGCCTTGCCGGCGGTACACAGGATGCCAAATCCACCAAACATTGCCCATTAAAGTGCCTGTAAAAGAGAGAGTGAAGCAACATTGAGGCAAAGACAAGGGGAAGAAAGATTGTCAACTAAAGGAGGAGAGTTAAAAAGACGAAATGCCTTTGAGTTCACCCTGTCTAACAGTTGGACAGAAGAGCCACCCCAGATATGAGAACAGTACTCCAAGTTAGGACGAATGAATCCCTTATATACATGAAGCAACTGCTCAGGAGTGAAGTAGCTACGGCATCTGTACAGCATTCCCAACTTTCAGGAGGCAGCTTTAGCAATGTTGAGGAAGTGTGGCTTCCATGACATATTAGACGAAATGGTGAGGCCTATCATATCTATTTTAGAATTTGGCAGAATGATAGTGGAACACTAAACTATAAGATACTACTTTATGATAAGTGAGTAACATGGTACTGATGCTGGACAGTTAAGAAGAACTTTTGTAGCCAGATTGCCCTTAATGAAAGTTCCAGCAATTTCAGTGAACCTTTTATTAAAATTCTGGTACCGTTTCTGAGGTTCGTGTTGGGTACGTCTCTCGTTGAAACTTTTTTTTTTTTATATCCCAGTGTTTCAAGGGTTTAAACTAAAAATAATGCAATAACACGTGCATAGATTTACATGTGGTCATTTCACGTCCTTGAACTGTCACATTCAAAGGGTATTCACAAAAATCACTGTCCCTGTGCAATGCCCCTCCTCAAATGAATGGACGGGAAACATTGTGAGGGTGTGTGCATGACAGTCACTTGAATATTTGTCATGGTTGGCGGCTACGGATGAGGGCGTGGAATTATCTTTAGCAGGCGAGTGATGACAGGGCGGTAGTGAGCAGGGCGCCAGGGATCAATACAGTGCTATTTTGAGGACAAGACGTGGCGGGCAGCTGGACGACGTGACCACAGAGAGACCCACACCACATTTAATTTGGACGTGTTGACTCCATATCTGAGCTACCCTTGCAATTCCTACGGCATCCATTGACTCAACAAGACATGCAACACAGCGTACAATACAAAGTTACACCAATACATTTTACAGTAACAGTTGTACTTATTGATGTAGGAGATAAAATTATTGACGTACATGAGCAGTTACTTCCTCCTCGATGAAAAAACCTTTAAATTTTTCCGTTCGAGATTCTGAAGTTTAGGAGAGGAAGAATTCCCAAGAGTCACAAGCCACGTGGACGCAAATTATACAAGGTCAATTTTTGTTTCGAGAACCCTAACGGATTAATATATTTTAGAATGTACAAAAAAAATTAACCTATAAATCTTAAGGAATAAAGATAGATCATAACCTGTCAATAGAAGAAAAAGAAAGCATCCCTTCGTCAGCGTTAAGAGTTGAACAAAACACTGACGTCCACTTTTATGCGTCTTACTTCCATCAATCACCCCTCACTCTCTCTCTCTCTCTCCTCCCATACCTCACTTTCTCTCCTTTTCCTTGCATCTTACTCTATCTTCTTCATACCTCACCTTCACATTCATTTTTCATTCTCTTCACTTTCCTCTCTCTCACTCCCCCCTCACTTAACTCTCACTTTCTCTCACTCTCACACCTACTCACCCAGCCTACAATTCTACACTCCTTTCTCTCCCTCCATCCAACCACCACTCATCCACTCATCCTTCTACGCATCCAAACACATACACAAACACCCAGACATACACACCTGCGTATACGCATGTTAGTGTAAATGCGTATTTCCACACACAGACTCGATATAGAAGTCACTAAATTATATATATTAAAAATGTAGTCTACCCATTATGTACTTTGAATTATTAATAGATCGAGGAGGAAATGCACTTGACTCCATTTGCGACCATATTTTTTTTTGTGTATTTTTATTTATATCCAAACTATGTACTGTGCGGCCCCATGATGACGCCACTATGTACTGTTTCTGTAATGGTGTACTTAAATATCAATGTATAATGGCGTTTCTATCTATCTATCTATCTATCTGTCTAACTTCTGATTCTGATCTGTAATGTTCACAGATTAATTCTCACTTATCCTTGCCTTAAAATAAATGTCACCAACACAATATAAAACATCACAATAATATTTCAAGTTCTTCACAGCATTTCTTTAGTAACACCAACATATCACCCCCCCCCCGCCACAATCCTTCCCTCTCTTTCTGCTCAACACTGCACCACTTAATCCAATATCTCAGCTTTTAGTGTTCCCATTTCCATTTCTCTCGAAAACTCAGTCTCAACTTTCATCTTTAAGAGTGTGAAAATATATGATAATGGAAAGCACATGACAACTTTACACCAAGTTAGGCACCGAACAGAACAGCATTAATCAGTCAGGTTCAGCGAGAGAAGAAAACTTTTGTACCTCGTGTAGGAGTTGAAGAGCTGGAGCAGTTCCCAGGTGATTATTCCTAAATGAAAAATTAAGGTAAAACAAATACAAATTGCTGAGTTTTGTTTTGAAGGGTCGTGACTAGTGAACCAAGGAAATAATTTGGAATAATGGTGAAGGGGTTGAGAAAATATGAGAGAGAGAGAGAGAGAGAGAGAGAGAGACAAGACTAGGAATAACGTATCTCTTCTGAAATGATGTCTCTTTGTGAGAGGGGGAAGGAGAGGTGGAGGGAGAGAGGGAGAAGATAAATGATAAGGGAGGAGAGATTAAAGGAGATGATGGAAGGGGGAGAGAAGTGAAAGGAAATCTCTTGGAAGGAAACAGGTAAATGGTAGAAAGGCGAATGTGGGGGACGGGGTAGATGGTGGGATGGGAGTGTGAGGGGGAAGAGATAGATAGTGGAAGGGGAGTGTGAGGGGAAGAGACAGATAGTGGAAAGGGAGTGTGAGGGGAAGAGATAGATAGTGGAAAGGGAGTGTGAGGGGAAAGAGATAGATAGTGGGAGGGGAGTGTAAGGGGAAAAGACAAATAGTGGAAGGGGATAGTGAGGGGAAGGGAAGAAATTATGATATAGAACTGGAAAGAGAAATGCTTCAAATGGGAGTAGTAGTAGTGGTAAACGTTCAACCTTTGTTCCTTTGTGTTGAGATTTTGGGAGAGTGTTTAATCCGTGCGTGGCAGGGTTGTGACGAACTTTCCTATTTTATCGGTCTGCCTTTCTGCCTCTGTTCATCTGTCTGACGCGTTATTGAGGTCACCCACTGTTTTGGGTTTTTCAAGGCCAGCTTTGTCTTTGCTACCAGTTTTGGCTGCCTATAACGCGCGTGCATTCACACACACACACACATTTTGTTTCAGGGTAAAAGTTTAATGTAGGAGTCTGAGAGAATTATAGATTTTCTCAAAACTGATTATCGGAGTGTCATAAAATTCCCAACAAAAGAAAGTTCCACAGCAAACGACAGGGAAGGCTTGCTAGCGGTGAGATGCTGTTCCACACAACTCATCAGTCACACAGTTCCCTTATCACACAGGCGTCTACTCACGACTATATTTTTTAGAAAATTAACCAAACAATTCTCATAATTTTTGAAGCTTTAAGTCTCACCTCTGAAGGGGGCTACTTAAGCGTGATTTGATAAGCAGTCAGAGGGTTTGTGTTCAACTAACAGTGTGAATCTGCTTTTAATATATCCCAGCCTGTAAAAGTTCTTCACTGCCCCTAATAGTTTCCCGAGGGCAATCCAGCCTAAATATGATTCTTATTTTGATCTCATTTAACTGATATACCCCCCCCCCCCTTCTCTCTCTATTCCTTAGGCATTTGTACAATTTTCAAGATGGAGCTAAAATTCGCTAGGAAGGTGCAGGTGGCCCCCATGGTTGAGCACTATTCCCTTTCCATATATCTGGGAAAAATCATTTGTAGTCATCCGTTTCTTATGAAATTCTCAATATTCCTTGATAATATTTAGTTAATTGTTTCATGGTTTGTTTCTTTGCTGTTTTGTTTTATCTAACTCAGTGATATATCACACCAATCATTACATCTTACAATCTATTTAAAGGTAATATTTTCTAATTAGTTTCCTTTTCTCATTCCAGGTGGCATCAACACTTCAATCAACTCCAACATAAATTTCATTACCCAGAACACAACTAGAAAATCCATCTTCATAACACATCTATGAGTGCTGTTACTAATATGACTACAAATATAAACACGCCACACAACACCCTTTATATAACACTAACTTCAGCTCTTACTGTCTACAACTTGCACTAAAAAGTCTCTTATAATCTATAATGTCCTTAAGCTAAGAGCATTATCATAAGAGTAAAAAATAAATAAAATAAAAACACACAAGAACTTCAATTCCTCTTTGCTTATACATACACCCTCTCCACACTACTACCACAACCACAGTAGACCACTACCACCACGACCACAACCACAGTATACCACTACCGCCATCATGTCCTTCGGTGGTGCTAATCTTCGTTATGGGGTTATCAAGGAGAGCAACCGTACCGGGACCACCGCGGTGTTTGAGTGCCACCCAGGAGGCACTACTGAGGCGGCAATCATCCTAGCACTGGGAGTCCTCGGCATGTCTGCTAATATTGTCCTCATGACCTTACTCATCGCCAGGAAGCATCTCAGGAGGTAGGTGTCTGTCTGTATTTCTGTCTGGGTCTTTTGTGACGACAAAGGAATGGAGGGATGTGTGTGTAAAAGAAAGATAAACGCGATCATAGTTTAATTTTTATATTTTTCATATATTTTTTTATCTCTCTCTCTCTTCACAATCTCTGTAATAACAATATGGATTCATCACTTTCTTTGAGTTCAAAAGCTACTGGTAAGTCCAAGTTATATTTTTTTCAGGATATTAAAATTCATATCATTCTTATTGTTATTAAACTCTATATCCCTATTGGTTATCCTAAATCTTTTCTTTATCTCACAATATGTTAGAGTCATGTTTATTATTCACTCAAGCTAGATAACGATACGTCCTCGTCACTATTCAACCGTGTAAATGTTAGTAAGTACCGCACTATTACTCTGCCTCTGATATGGATAATCCCTGTATATGAAATCATGTCTTATTTTCAGTTCGTAGCAAACAACCCCTGTATATTTTTGCACTCACACACATGCATACACTTTACTGTATATGAATTTGAACTCACAACGGAATAGAGACGTGAATTCCGAGAAGTTTTGTAATATTCTAAATCTCTCAGTTGCTGTTCTCCATCTCCCTTGTGAGATTGATTTTCTATGTTATTCACTTGTGTATTATCAACGAAAGAAAAAGCATTTAAATTAATTTTCTAAACCACCATGAAAGTTTTATTGATGCCTAGTAAAAGTTTCTAAATAAAGAATAAATCATGATTAAAAATTTCTAAACGATAGCCGAAAAAAGTTATTCCTTAGCTAGCAGCAAGAACTCATTAGAAAAATTTAAAATAGTGTCAAAAGATAAGCCTCCACTTGACACATCAGTGAGTCCTTATGTGTAAAGTTTTAAATCTGCTTGAAGCCAAAAGACAACACTTTGAGGTAATTTCATCTAAAAGTTTCATTTCCTTTCTTCTACCACCTTGAGAGTAAAAATGTTTGTAATGTTCAGTCACTCAAAAAACTATCTGTACTTGAGCGGTTGATGAATTTCAGAATGAGCACGAGACTCCTGTTGCCTTGGTAGGGTTGTCAAAATCCTTCGTCCATTGTTTCATATTGTCTCAACACAATTTTGTATAGATAGTTTTTTGAGTGAATGTACGAGTGGATCTTTATTTTACAACTGTGTGCACGTCATGGAACGTTTTGGCCGTGTAAGAAAGAGGCCGTCGACTAGGCGTTACAAGATGTGTTAGTGTCCAAATTCAAGAAGGCAGACAATACCCCTGTATGTGATTAATGCCAAATCGAGACGGGTAGCGGTAGTGTGTGTGTGTGTGTGTGTGTGTGTGTGTGTGTGTGTGTGTGTGTGTGTGTGTTGAGAAAACGTCGGTAATATTTTTCTCAACTTGAGATGTGTCATAGTTCCAGTGGGATATTTTCATATAGGGAGACCACAAAAAAATTCCCAAAGTGAACCTAAGGCACTGACCTCATGTATGTCGTCACACTGGAATGGATGACGTCACATTTTAATCGCAAATAACAAAAAGCCTATCAAGATCTAATGACCATCTAGGACGGCAAACACAACTATCAAAGAACACTATCAAGGAAACATTACCACAAAGTTTCAGCAAAATTGAACCAATGTGTTTTTGAAAAGTCAGAATGTGAAAAGTTTTTGACAAACAAACCTGAGCGTGACAATAGTCTACAATCACGTAAGATAAGAAAGCAGTAAGGCGGAAAGTGTTCGGGGTGTTCTTCGCTGAGAGGATACAGGGCTCGCTCCCCATCCTGAGGTCAGTTAGTTCGTGCCCCGGGGTACTCCCAGTTAATCGTTCTGGAAATTGGTACCCGAATGCAGTGACGGCCAGACTGCCCTTGTGTACCAGACATTTAGAATTTAGTGTACCGTATATCCCCACTATTCTTAACTAGACTTGAGGAATATAGGGCCAACTCTCCCATCATACAATCACTGGTGAATCTAAACGACTACATGAAACTGACGGTCATTGTGTTTATATCATTTCCCAGTTAATTTCCTTATATCCATATTAATTATTAAGTTGATTTTTTCTTCAACCAAAATACCAATCAATTAATCACCACAAATGCATTTTTATTAGGCGGAGCGGGCGAGTGACTACAGTGGTAATACACTTTAGTCACTAGGAGCTGATATATATTTTGTGGGGTTATAAATGAATTACAGGGTTTTATAGTAATTGCTACTGCCAAGACAGGTGAAAAACATCATAAAATAATTATCTACGCTATTACCTTAGAATGAATATATATATATATATATATATATATATATATATATATATATATATATATATATATATATATATATATATATATATATATATATATATATATATATATATATATATATATATATATATATATATATATATATATATATATATATATATATTATATATATATATATATATATATATATATATATATTATATATACTATATATATATATATATATATATATATATATATATATATATATATATATATATATATATATATATATATATATATATATATATATATATATATATATATATATATATATATATATATATATATATATATATTCATTTAATAAAATCATGATATAAGACATTATTATCTACTAAATCTAGTCAAGTGTTGATTTGCTCTGGCAACACTAATGCTCGCCTCTTAATGTGTTGTAATTATATGATCTTTATTGTTATGTTGCCAGCTAACTCATACACCTCAGAGAAAAATTTATACTCAAAGTATTCTAAGGTAAATAATTTTTATTTTATACTTGCACGATGTTCTTGTGATTCTTTTTGTGGGGGAGGGCAAAGACTTTTAAAAACAAACATATGTAGTAGTCGGTAGAGTTCAAGATCTACAGGTTATAGTTTTTGGTCTTTGGATCTCGATGCTTTCCTATTTTTACTGAAGTTCTAAATTTTGCCAAAACTAATTAAAATGTTGCAAAACTTTAAGTAGATAGGAAAGAAAGTGTCTGATGTCCAAGAATTGTAAGAGTGCCATAATGAAATTATTAGATTTGCAGATTTCACGAAAAAGGGTTAAAATGTTTCAAAAATTTCAAGTTGGATGGTCACAAAGCGCAAACAAGAGTTACTACTCATAGAATAAAAGGAAACGTTTGTAGGAATGAAAACATTATTTCATTTGAGATTTTACAGTAATATATATTTAGATTTTTATTTCTTTTACAATTTTAAAGTACTGTTGTTATATATTTTGTTCTTCAAATTTTCGGAAATGTTCGTAAGTTTTACAGCAATGTGTTTTTTTTGTTCTCTTTAGCAACGTCAAGTACTGTTCGTCAGTGCATCTATACTTGATATGCATACATAGGCTACACCTTACTTATTGTAAACTGTTAAACATTGAGTTTGTATTCAAGCGTGTGTTGGGGTGTAGCAGTATGTATGTGTGTACAGTATGTGCTGTATGTACGAGAGTGTCTTATGTGTTGTTAAATTTGTACATACAGTAAACATACACTCGTATGTCTCTGTTTTCATGTTCGTGCGATCCTCTGTGTGTGTGTGTGTGTATGTGTGTATGTATGTTTGTAAGTAGGGTTGTATGTGTAAGTGTTGCATATGTATAAATGCGCTCAAGTACAAGTATTTATGTGCTTAAGCGTGTTGCAGGAGTCACTAATGATCACGAGTATGTGGTTCACCATATGATAGTGTTCACAAGAGTACTGAACTATGCAACTTTATTCATCACAGAGGTAAAACATCCCATGACCTAATAATGCGGTCCAACTTCCCGCACATCATGTTTACATAAAGACATCGATGACGGCTACAATTCCTTCTAATGCTCATATGAGCGATGATGGTAAGTTCTCTCCTAATATTATCTGCATATCTACGGTAATAAAAGGACATGTCTGTTCATGAGCGTGTCTGTCTGTCTGTCTGTCCCAGCCATAGCTCCAAAACGGAAGCAGTTATATACCTAAAACGTTACAAACATATTACATGTCAGGAAGAGCAAACTGTGGCAGTCAGGGTTATTCAGTATATACCTAACCCAAGCGAAGCAGGGTAATTCTCCTAGTATACTCATATATTATACTGTATATATTGGTTAAACAGTGTCAATAACTCATCTTTTTTTCATAGGCTTTAAGAAAAATTTTCTTGGTATATGCTAAGTGAACATAATTTTGAGACCCTTCCTCTCTGTTCCCCGCTGACCCACAACCTTTACCCGTGAATGCGCAATTCACATACAAAGGTCATTGTAAAGGCAGCAAAAATTATATAAAAAAATTGAAAATTATTTAAAGGGGATGTACGACTCCAGCGGTGCGTATCATTTCAACAACTTCCAACAACTATTTATTTTAGGCCGGCTAGAATTCTTCCTGTATATAGCACGAGCCTCATCAAAATAGCCGGATGCTATAGTAAAACCAAATCTAAATTTATAAACCACTACATTAAAACACAGAATAATTTAATGAAGCACAAACAGCTACTAATTACTCTCTTAGGATAATACTTTTAATGATAAATTGATTGATACTTTGGTTAAATAAATATCCGGGAATGTTTTTGTGCCATTTAGAGAATATGAGAGACGTTCCTTTGATTCACGGAGAAATATACCGTACCTCTCTCATCTCTACGACAAGAACCACGAGAACTACAAGAACCACGAAAGCTACAAGAACCACGAGAACTACAAGAACCACGAAAGCTACAAGAATCGCGAAAGCTACAAGAATCACGAGAACTACAAGAACCACGAAAGCTACAAGAACCACGAGAACTAAAAGAACCACGAGAACTAAAAGAACCACGAGAACTAAAAGAACCAAGAAAGCCATTAGAGGAAACCCATTCACCTGTTTACAGAGAATCTCGAGTGAATGATGAAGGCTTAATGACTGAGTGACTGGCTGATGGACGCATTAGCTGACTGTCAAGTGTACCGGCAGTTTGACTTAATTAACAGCCACCAAATGTAATGAT